TATTAGACTGTTAAATTGGACCAACTTGTGTCATCTGATTACAGAATGCCGGTTTAAAATGGTCCTGGTCTGAATACATCCTTAGATTTTTCAAGGTACCTTAAGACATTTTCAATCAATTTAAACTTAAAATCTGACTTACTCCACTTTGACTAGATGAGTCTGTAGTGATGCTGTCAATGCTCGGTCTTCTGTGTAATCTTGTATTCCGCCTATTGTAATATTCCATTGATCCATTGAGACCTGTAGTTCTTTCATTAGTGTGAACATAATCTTTTGAACCTGCAGTTCTTCCAGTGCTCTGAGGTCCCAAAAAGTTAATCTCATTTCTGTCGTCATTTTGCAAGTTTCGGGCATATCTGTTCGTAAATTTATTTGGACCATGGGTGGCCTTAGATATGTTTGGGGAAGAAAGCCCAGAAGATTGTTGCCTCTCACTATTTCTTAATGTAGAAAGAGTTGAATCCCCATAACTAGTGCTGGTATTCATGTAACTTCCACTATCCTTTTTATCTATTGGATGCTGGTCACTGCTAGGCAAGAGTGTGCTATTTGTTCCATGTCCACCACTGGGCATTCTTTGGTTTGGACCAAGAGCCCTGGGGAATTCATGCTGACCTTGAATTGACCTCTGACCTTGATTTGTCCTTAGTTCTGGCTGAGGGCTTGGAACTCTGTATTTACTGGCTGAATCAGTAAGACCACTGTCAGGCTCAAGGCTGCTGTCAGTATAGTTGTTATGCCTTTGCTGTAGCAGGCTAGGTCTTTGATGCAGTCCATTGTGTTGTTCAAAATTTGGAAAGTTCCGATTTTGATTTTGGCCAGGCCAATGCGGATTATTTGAGTTATGCACAACTGGAGCAGAACTTTTATGTATTGCATTGCCTTTATCAGCAGAAAGATGAGTATTTCTTTGTGGACTGGGACTAGCCCTTCTTTGGTCCTTCCCATGGTTATTGGAAACGTGTCTAAGAGGACTTCTTTCTCTTTTGTGCCTCTCTTGGACTCCATGGCCATTTTGCCCTGGTACTTGTAAAAGATTTGCCTGCTTATGGTGGTTTTCTATATTTTCTTGTCTCCATTCTGTGAAAATATTACTGCGTTTACCCTGATTTTGGTTTGTTTGATTTTGTACATCATTTTGTTCTGAGTATGCTTTGCCGTCTGCTCGTTTACCCTGTTCTATGTAACCCTCCTTTACCCCATTCTGTTCAGGCTGTCCTCTCACATTGACTGGCACAGACTCATTTATTGTAACAGGTCTCTGGGGGGAAATGGTGACCCTGGAAATAGTAATGTTTATGTTTATGGTGACAATTATAATAACACATACCAAGGTTACTCTGAAAATAAATACAATAGATATAATGTGATTTTTAATAATGCAGCAAATATAGAAGACTTATCTACAGGTCTTAATCCAGTAAAAATGTTTATTTTTTCTTTTGACATTCAAAATTATTGTAAGTTGTTAAACTTGGAAAAAAACACATGAAATGAAATGTGATAGCTGTTCAAACATCAGTTTTCAGTTGAGAGCAATCACAGTCTTAAACATGGAAAACTATTATATATAAATTGGTCAATTTCTTCATAAGCCTTAATTATTATAATGACCAACCATTTTCAGATTTGAAGCAAATTATGATGTTCCTGGGTATAATGTAGTGCTTATTTTGGAAGAAGGGCTGGGTGGATGAATACTGTAGGGGCTGTGTTATTGAACATTTCCAGCATATGATATTTGGCATATTTACCAAGGAATGTCAGGGGCAGATGGGTTTTGTCTTCAGCGTCTTCTGGAAGATGGTCATAATTTTAAGTTTACATTTAGGGGCATCTTATTTTTTCTGTGGGAAGACGGTCAAAAATGGAAAATGGATCAACAAACTTAACATAATTTGGAAGACTGTCTGAAAATATATATGGATCCGCCCCTGAATGTGACAAAATTGTGTCAATAACACAGGTTAGAACTAAATGTTATGGATGACTTTTAAACATAGTAATCCAATCAATTATGCAAGTAGGTGCAAATAGGTTAAAAGCCTTATAGGATCTCTTTAACACGCAAATGTACAATCTAATTATGTATGTCCATGCAAAGTCGACCATGCAACCACACCTGTCACTCGGCAAATATTCGCATGCAATCATGACTTACAGTCCTTGAAACTTCCCTGTCTGAACACTGTATGCATTTATGCATGTGCATGCACAGATGTGTTCTATCTGCACATTTAGATATACGTATGTGTGGAACACTGCTTTTTAGTGTTAGATATATAAAATTACAGTACAATATAAATCTAAAAATTATTCTTAACATGCATTTTTACTAGTATGGGTTCCAAGTGAAAAAGTGCACTATATCTGTTTCACATTTTCCCACTAATATGTGGCAAATAGAATTTTTTTTCTTAATTTCCTTGTGTTCAGACAAGAGATCTTTGAGGAGGCAAATAATACAATGCCATGCTTAAACTTTTTGTACTTCATTGGGTAAGCATGCAAGCTAAACAATAAATCTGAAACCTACAAGACAAAGTGTTACCTATTTATCATTAAATGTGTAGCAATATGACATATATTCTATTAAGAAGTAAGACATGGTAAATCAATAAATATCAAAGATCAACCAAAAACATGTAAACCAATAGAAATGGAAATCACTAATTAAGGTTCAAAAAAGAATCTGACAGATTTTGTGTAATTGTGCAATAAATTAATACTTCAGAATTAAAATGCAAAACTGCCAATTAATTTTTCTGTTGATTTTTTTAAACAATGGTAAATGTCAAACATATTTTTAAAACTCTGTCTGAGACCATACAATCTCTCAGTCAGCTTTTCATATTTGCATTATAATAATTTTTTAAAAAAACTGAGGTATAGTTTTTGTAGAAACTATTATTGGTAAAAAAAAAAACTTGTGGGATAAATTAATTGCTCTTTTCACACTGTAACATCTATTAGGAATTTTCAAAGCTCGCAACAAATTTTCTTTACAGAGCAGTGCTGCAGTGTACGTAAGCATACTTATAGAAGCCTTCTTGGACAAACACAATATAATATTTCTCTGTCAGATCATTTTTGAACAATAATTTAAACAAGAATCAGCACACCAACCGACCTCTTCTTCTTGCCTTGCCCACTGGTTGATATGCTACTACAGCAAAATAAAAATGAGAAGAAGCAATCTACTAAATGCAGCTCAGTGAAAAAAATTCTTAAGATAATTTACTAACAGAAAAACAAATTAAAGAAAGAAAACACTATCACTAAATATGTTTCTCACGATGCTTTAAAAGATTTGACTATTAAACAAAGTAAAGAGAATCAAGATTATTATTACAGATGCTTCATAATATTTGTCAATAAAAAACTGTTTGACAAAGATAATAATAAAAAATAAAAGATATGATTAAAATCCAAACAACACATTATATTGCAAAAATATTATCTAATTCCATTCTAATATTAAAAACTCTAAATACCTGGTGATGATATTGAAATATCATTACCATGTATTAAAAGATATGCCATTCACAGTTTTTCAATTTTTAATTGAGAGGGTGAACTATATTGATAAAGATTACTGAAAGAGGAGATTTGATTTTGTCACTTCTGTTAAAGACTAACCGATAATATTTTCGACATGTATTTATCATCATTTTTCACCATTTTCTGGTGGCAAATAAATAAACAAAAAAAAAAAAAAAAAAAAAAAAAAAATAATAATAATAATAATAATAATAATAAATAATAAATAAATAATAAGTATGTTATCCTAAATGATCTGCAACAAGTCAGCCTGAAAAAGTTTTAAGTGTCTTTTATTTTACAATAATTTGACTGATTTAAAAGAATTAAATATATGCTGTCTAAATTAAAATGTACCTGCTATTTTGTTGGTTATTGAGATGTCCATTGAGCTGGTCAAGCCTTCGTCCACCACTGATGAAATGACCATTCAGGTCCACTCCACTGTCCTCACTTAATGCTCGGACTTCTTCAAATTTCTGTTGCAATGAAAAAAAAATTATAATGAAGTTTACCAGATTTTATTCCAATTGAATTCTTTGTTACTTTATGTTTGTATAAATAATAAGTAATAAATAATATAGAAAATGATATACTTTTACATTGATAAAAACCATCAAAGACTTAAAAATCCATGCATAATAATTATCTTCAGTAAAAAAACATTTTCAAACAGCTTTGCTCCCTAAAAAGAATATCCATGGTCTCATAAAGTAAACTAATTATAAGGAAAAGACAGTATTTACGTATGCAGTAAATAATTGCATCTCCTTTGTAACTCAAATTGGATAAACTTTGTAACTGAATAAATTTACCTTTCTGCGTGCCACATGTGATCTAGATTTGACAGGCGTACTGGTGTGGACAGCATGAATATCTGCAGCAACTGTCATATTTCCACTTCTACTAACCCCTGGACTTGGAGAACGCCTTCGCTGCTGTGAAAGTGTAGGTTCCTGCAGAAATTGGATCATTTCACTATGTGAAACTGATCATTTATATACATTTATATATTCCTCCGTATGGTTAAATCTGGTATAATCAGCGCCCCTTCTGTAGAATCTAAAATATATCCTAACTATGTCGGTTCATTTTCATTTATCTTCATTGAATTTGTATGAATATTTGTTTCACTGTATATATATTAAGTCTCAATGTTTGTAAATTTTCACCAGTGCCAAATATTAACTAAATGGACAAGAATCTTTTCCTTACACTGGGTGAGGCATTTATACCATTTTATATCTATTCAACGCACCATTCGTAAATAATCTGGCAGTCCATGAGAGTCATCAGGAATTTCTTCAATAGCATCATGGTGGGCATTAACAGTGTCTACCTTAACCTGAATACAAAAATGTTATCAAGTACTAACACCTCCATAAAATGATAAAAAAAAACTATTATAAGAAATATGCAGCAATTAATCTTAATATGCTTATAATTGTATGCTATCAAATCTGATGAAACAAATCACAGGTACATAGATATTCAATCAAAAGTCAAATTCTGATCATGGCAAAATCAAACTTCATCCTTTACAACTCTTAATGATAAGAAAATGTCATTATGTGTCCATTAAACATTGCACTGGCATAACATATTCCTTTGTGAAACAAACATGGTTACAGTTATTTACTTTGACATGTGCAGGCAGCTGTTGTGGAACTGTAGGTGGCACCACAATGTGACTGAATGATCCATCTACAGAGTCCTATGATTGGAACCAAGAAGTATTATTTAAATTCAACAGGACAGCATTCAAAATTTTTAATTCATACTTGTCAGTTTTTTAATTGTACAGGGAATTTTGATTTACTCAAAAATCTAATGGTCTGTATTTGTAACCTACCTCACAAATGCAAACTTCAACAGTTACCTATTAAGTCTTTGATATACATTATACTTCATAAGCAATCGGTCATATTATTTTTACAAAAATTGTGTATTTCTAATACTACGCAGACTACAACACATTCTCTACAAGCTAGCACTAGGTGTTCAAATACATAAAAACAATTATACAATGTATCTTCAGGAATACATCTAAAAAAACGTGAATGGTACATGTACATCCACATTATATGCCAAAGTACGTCAAAATATTTTTTAACCAAGTTTCATTTCATTTGGAAGCTATCAGCAGAATTTTGGCAATTTACATATTTTAGTGGCACTAATGTACATGTACTTTGATCTCACACCATACAGCACATTTCTTAAGCCAACAGCCAAAAGCACTTTTTTTTTGCCCAAAAAAATAAAAGAAAACATTAAAAATGTTCTGATAAAAAGAAACTTTCATCTCCCTAAAAATTAAAACCAACAATGACGTTAATTAAACAACAAAAAGAAAATAGTTAGTAAAAGGAACAGATATTGTTAAGACCTGGTACAATTATACGTACTTTGGCAGACGTACTGGAAAAACCAGTGTAGCTGGAGAGAGAGCTGTCAAAGGAGTTTTCGGACATGCCGTCCGTCGTTGTATAAGGGTGGGAATGATGGGACTACAACAAAAAAAGCGAAGTATGTTACAAACACAGTAGGCATGCAGCATTCTAAACAATTTCCATAAAATAAAAAGTTTCATATTAATTAATTATCAAATGAAATGACAGTGGAGGATTTTTTCATTCCTTTTCAGTTGGAAATTGCTATTGTGAGAATTTGATTAATATCAACCGAAACTAATAGTAAGCTCTATCATGTATTCATTTCCTCAGTTCAGATTGATCCAAAACACAAAGCTCAGTTACAGAAAACCTATATGAAATTAAAGTTACTGTACTAGACAGAAATCATGCAAATTATGCAACTCCATGCACTCACAGTGTATAACTGTACCTCTGCCATAAACACTATGATTAGTATCTTACAAGCTAAATGTTTAAACATTAATATATTGCAAGTATAATACATTGTCAATTAGTTAAATAAAGGAACTTTTCACAAGCATGCCTCTTGATAATTTCACATCACGCAGTAGATTTTTGAGTACTGCACCAGTTTGCAAGGTCATAACCTCTAATGGTGGTAAGGGGGTAGGGGTGGGGTGGGGTGGGTTGAGGGGGGTTACTCCCTTTGAGGCTTTCCAAAGTACCAATCAAAATGAATCCAGTTAAATGGCCACGTCAAGTATGGGGTTTCTGTTTAGGTGACTCTCTTACTTAATAACCAGGCTAGTAAGTGGTCAATCTCTCAAACTGAAGCAGTTTAGAAAATTCTACTGCTCAATGTAAAAAGAGCCTTAGGGACCATTCTCATACCCTATCGTACTAGCAGGACTGATCTGTCTCTGAGAGGTTTCTAGCTAAATTGCATTTAGTTTAAGCGTGCACAAAAGTTAATTACCCCTCCCCCCCCCCCCGCAGCAGCTTCAGTGGGTGTGACAGACATTTAAGCCACTTAAGCTGAATGCAATTTAGCAAGAATCCCCTTGGATTTAGGTCAATCCTGCTAGTATGGTAGGTTTTATTGAAACCCAGTCTAAGTCAAGCGACATTCCAGTAATACACATGGATTAAGTTAATCTAATGCAGTTTAGTTCACTAAAATCAGTACCAGGGGTACAAAGGAAAAAAAAAAAAAAAAGAAAGAAAAAACTCACCTTCAAGTCATCTACATCTCTCCTTAAAACAAGAGCATCAAACCTGTCAATGTCCTTGGGAGCTATCAAACCCCTCACTTCTGACATCAGAGAAAACTAAAGTAATATACAAATAAAAAATTGACAACCCATAATGATATACTGTACATGAATTTTAAGCTAACTAATCAATTAAAGAATACATTTTTGTAACCAATCTAAATATCTTTTGATAAGGTTCATAGAAAGATATTCATTCTGAGTACAGAAAGTATCAGATACTTTCAATTTAAAAAAGAAAGTAAGTATTCTTTCACTGCTAGACCTCAGAGTTTCTCCCATTATCTGATATTCTTTGGAATATCAAAAAAAAAAAAAAAATAATAATAATAAGAATAAATAAATAAATAAATAAATAAATAAATAAATAAATAAATAAATGATGACCAACTTGCCTTGGCCTGTGTATTGAGCAGTTCAAAAAGAGCCAAAGCCAGGGCCTCCACACCAATATGGCCTGTGTTGTATTCATTAAGATAATAGTTCATGGTGCCACGTTCATTGTCGTTTAGCAGTTGCCGTGCTTGTTCTTCTATCATCCCCCGCTGGGCACTATGCATAGTGTTGTTCAAGATGAGCTGAGACCCTGCCATCCGCGTAAAAACAGACTGAAATAGGTTGAAGAGACATGGGTGTGATTTATTTGAGACAGGTCAGTATGCAAGACCAAGCTCAGACTGACATTAACAAAATGACTGAAATAGTAAACTGTTTCTGAAGACAATGTCTTTTCATAGTCATTACACAAAAACAATGTATATAATTGTCATTACAAAAATAAATAAACACTAAATTATCATTATTATTATAATAATAAAAATATATCACCTTTAAATTATTAATTTTTATTAACGTTGTATACTAAAACTATACTATTGAACTGCACCTCTTGTTTGCTGTCAACTTGGTCTTCCTGAGGAGTTTTTACACGCAATGAGTTAAAGCCATTGGATAAGGCACTGAAATAGTACATATTAAGAAAATCTTCAGGAACTTCAAAAAGTACAAAACTGACCCAGAACTCACTTTCTAATTTTACTAAGCTTTTCAGACAATTTATCAGAAATGCTTAGAATAAACTGCTGTATTGTGTAATTTTCAACATAAATTTAATGGCTCACTTGCATCTGTGCTAGGATAGAAGAAATATCTTTTGGGTCCTGAATCTGTGTTTTCACAAAATAATAAGAACAAGGGATATTGGCGACAGGCATTTTCCAAATAATATGGTGAGAGCCTATGACAAATACACAGCTTTAAAACAATCTGTACCTGCTGGGTCTGGAAGGACTCCGTGATTGCTGCAGCTCCCTTCCCACAATCCATTGCGTCTCATCAATGGTAGTTCTAGCATACGGCAGACGTCCCACATCCTTTACAGTCATAATCATGTGCTTTGAAGCCTTCAGGACTTTCACTGCATTAGCATGAGATATATCCAGGAAACTTTCTCCATTTACGTCCAGAATTTGGTCTCCAACCTGTAATGCAAAGACAATTAATGGGAAGTGTATGATCAAAAAATTATACAAGTTAGTTACAATATTTGGACATCAAGCCCCCCTCTAAGATGGATAAAAAAATCCATACCAGAGAAGATTTTGTATTGTGAAACAGGGTAGCTTTTAATGAGAAACTGTACTATAATTAGTCTTTTAAATGGTAGGCATTTTCGCTCATATAGAAGTGAAAAGAAAAATGGTGTGCCTAACACAAAAAGAAATTGTGTACAAAACCTTATACTTCTGGACCATTTACCTATATATTTTTGTACAACTTTCCATTCTCCACTCACCTTGAGTCCAGCATTTTCAGCCACAGACAAAGGGTCTACTCCAGTAAGATATATTCCCAGCCCAAACTCACTCCCTCCACGTATCATTAGCCCTAAACTCTGCCCTGATCCAACAACTACATTCACCTGCAAAATGTCACATCAACTTATAAAAAAATTAATTAAAACAATAACAACACTTTATGGCAAAGAATTATTTTAAAGGTTTTCTTTCTCAACAAAAATACACAGAATATCACAATTCTCCATTCAGTAAGTAAACCTGCATGTCATAATATTGTAGAAGATTTCCACTAGATGCCACCACAAACTATCTATTTACTAAGCAAGATAAACTTGACACATATAAAATGCTATTACAATATAGCACCTATAGCAGGGTAGGTAGCAAAACATTCACGTTTATTTTTGAGAGAATATATATTTCTGCAAATGCAATGTTACATACCTCTAGTAAAATTCTAAATGGTTTGTATTTCTTGTCAGTGTTTAATCTTTTCAAGTCCTACACAGAATTTGTTTAAAATCCAACTTAAAGTTTACAATCATTTTGTTCATGAAATAGAGTTCTATTCCTTTTCTGATATGAAACTAAGTTAAGATAAATTACATAAGGTTTTCATTTCTCTTTCCTACTAGGGGGCAGCTGGGTATTGGAATTTTTTTTTTTTTTTTTTTTGCAAAGTTAATCACAGTGCAGAAATGTGCACAGAATTAGCTATACTCTAATCTACCAGGTATGAGACTGCCATTTAGTGAAAAAGACAGGAAATATGGCGTGGGATCCAGGGCATCGCCTAGGTCAATATTTTATTTTTTGCTCCCAAAAATTCGGAAATCTGCCGATACTAGTCAGAAAAATCTCATCCCTGACCTAGTGAAAAACCCTGTGACCCTCAGGCCTTATAAACAGATTAGGCGTTTACACTACCTTTTTAGAACTTCAACTAATGCCCATATTAAACACAAAACACACGAATTAACCAGCACAACGTACAATTATTTAGCACCAACAAAGCGAAAGCTAGTACTAATAATCATCTGCTCTGGTTAATTTGTGGGTTATGTGGTTAATATGGGCATTAGTGCTAAAAGATCTGCGGGTTGTGTTAGTGAACTTCTAATCCATTTGTAAAGCCTGACTCTTGTATATTTTTTATATTGGTGACTATACTTTCAGATTAAGTTACCTTTCTCTCATCTCCACACTTCAGTAACATAAGCCCACTCTTCCTCTCCCCCTTGGCCTCATATCTCCCCGCCTTCTCAACCTCTGGGGGTGGGGACACAGGCCTCCCCCTGGGGTCCACCCAGGTGTATGTCTGGTGGACAACATAGGTGCCAGGGACACGCCCCACTGGCCGCACCTGGAGATCAAGTTTTTTGGCTGATCTTATTATCTGAAAGAAAGAAATTTCATCTTTGAGTGTTGAAGTTTATAGGCCCTTTTAGGACCGAAACACAAGCAGAACAGTTTCTTTGCATCAATTTGACTGGTCCTAGCATGTAATTATGGTACAGGGAGCTTACAGTACTGACTTAATCTTTTCAATGGGGAAAATTGTGAATTTTTAAATCTATTAAAATAGATACTGTGTTTTTAAGATCACATATTTTTTAAATTTGCACATATTCATATTGAGTGGTAGCAACAAAATTGAAAAGCAGTCTACCCTACATTTCTATTATGTATAGTTAAAGCTCTACAAAATATGCTATACAGAAGTTATATAGTTTTTTAATGATTCCATAATTATGTATCTGAAGGATTGATAATTTTTGTATATATTTAAAAGATCGGGTCAAAACCATATTCCTTTTCACAGCCTCAGTGTACCAATCAAAATTAATGATATTAAGCTGTGTGATGTGTGGGAGCTCTGTTTAAGTGGCTCTGTTTAAGTGGCTCTCTTGTATGATAGCCAGGCAATCTCTCAAAGTTGTCAATTTTTCAAACTGGTGTGATACAGAGAACTGCTGCATGAAGTGAAAGGACCACTGTATCACAAACAATGACTGTAATGCTCAATACACATTATCTTAATTTAAAAGTATTAGGTATATCTACAGAGTAAGCCACCAGTGCAAGACAATTGATTTGACCTCAGACTATACAGAAAAAGATTGATTTATAAAAGCTAACAGTCTGATCAGTTTGGGCATTTTTTATGTCTTGATTAATATTTCACTCTCTGTAAGTTTCATCTTCATATTAGAAAAAATTGATGTAGACTGAGGCTTACTGTAATAGCTTTTGGAGGTTTGCTAGCACTGAACAGAAAAATGTGTATCAGTGCTGAGCATATATTTATATATAAAAACAAGAGTTCCAGTTAATATTTCCTACTTCAGCACGATTTCCTATATATATATTATATAGTTTTTAAAAAAAATATTTGTTCAAAAAAGAGCAGGCATTTTTAATTAGAATCTGGAAATTCAACAAGGACAATATATGCAATGAAAATTATATATACACGTAATCATTGCATAGGTAAGTTTAAAAAATGTATAATTTGCTTCTCCTGATCATGCACAATGTAATAATACCTATGCATCATTTGTGTCTATAAACAAATTTAAGTAAATGACAAATATTTTGTGTATATGTAGCTTATGTATATTAATGCTTCTGGGTTTAGCACTGAAAAAACTATGCATATAGGTACCTTGTAACACAACATATGCATAAACATTTACATATATTTAAGGCCTTAATGATTCAGCCAAGGGGTAACACATAAACATACTAATTTGCTTCCCCTATACTGTTTCTATAGGTAATATCAACTTTAATTAAGAATCATTGGTCAAATGCTTTGTATGTGTGTACAATCCCTGACAATAACCATATTATTCCAACCCAATTATTCAGCAACAAACTATTGATTTTTGTCGATAAATAATTAATTAGCTGAAGGTCAATCAATCCAGTCATGTTCGTTTTAGACTGAGGAAATCTAAGAGCAGTGGTAGTGTGGTGACATGCATAATATTACCAACTGATTGGGAAGTTATCCACATAATATACCAAAAATATATAGATATAAAGAACTATAGAGTTTGAATATCTCCTTTATATAAAGGAGCCCCAGGTCCAACATAATGATATAATTTTAATGACTAGAATCAATTAATTAATTAATTACTGTGTTCAGAAATTAAAAAGGAAATACGTTTAGGAGTATTTTTTCTTTTCTTCTTCTTTTTTTTTTTTTTTTGGTCCTGTTTACTCTTGATCAGATAATCCAGACATGTTGGTTTTGAAAATCCTGGCAATCCAGTCATGTTTGTTTTTTCTGAAAACCTTCTTTGCATACTAGTATATCAGTAACACATACAGGGAGTGTTTAGTACTTAACAATTAAGATTATCCTGAATATAGTTACTAGTACTGATAGTTATATATGGTGACTTGATGAAAAATAACCAAATGCTTTCAGGGATTGGAATTTGTGGTTTGAATGCAAAAGGGTTAATGAAATATAAACCAATCAAAATGAAATAGGAAAATTAAATTTTAGTATGTGTACAAATGCCAAAGTGCAGGCAGAAAAGATTTTTGGAAATGGTATCAAGTGAACCTTGTTGCCATTTGTATCAAAGCACAGTTTCAAAGTTTGCCTGAAAAGAAAATGCTTTAGATAGTAAACGTATAAGCTTAAAATTCCAATACCATGACATTTACACTATGAGTGCACTGAAGCAAAAAGTTGCTCTATTTACAAGGACATTTTAAGCTAATGCAACTTTTGAAATATTTGGTGTCAGGTTCCCAGCTGAACAATATGCAAGGTCAAGCCTTCAAATACCAGTGAAAACAAAGCAGAGATTTTATACAAATCGTAGAAAAGACTGTGTATATATTTGGTAACATTTTTATATTTAGCTTTTAAAAAGGTGAATAGTTATTAGTACAGGCCACATGAACTGACAAAATGTTTAGGAAAGAGTTCTTATTAACTGGTAAAAGGCTGTGACATATTAGTATTTGTCCTGACAAATACAGAATGTTCTTTTTTAATACTGATGAAATTTAGGACCACCTTTTGATCTAGATTTAGCTGACCTGATAACCGCAGCATAAAATACAGGATATGGACATAAATGTACAATCATATTATTAGCTTGATCAATAACTTTAAAACACAAGTAATCCATGTACACTGCTAGTACTGTAAAATCACTCCAAAATACTAACTGGGACAATGCCAATTCCCTGACATTATAAACATGCCACAAAATAAACCCAATTTCTTGCATTACAAATCGATTACACACTTGAAAAAAAAAAAGATAGACTAAGTTTGAATGGAGCTTTTATATAATACGGCCTCATTTCCCAGCAATTGATCAGAGTAAAAATTCTAAATTATTCATCATACTCTAGAATCTAGTATCATGTTAGCTGTCTTTAGTACATGGGACAATTTCCATAGTGTTTAGGACGAGGGCCAAGTGAACGATTCTGTAAATTTAGAAAAACAATATGCTGCTTGAGGACAGGCAAACAATAATTTTGACCATAAATTTAAAAGAAAATGACAAATGCTACCTGATATTTACTTTGCGTTCAAAATACAAAATAAAGAACAGAAAATAACTTTCAGTTCAAAAGCCTGTCATAACAGACCAATTATTATCACAAGTAAAACAGGACTTTTGAAGTGCAATGTACACACAATCATCCGATTATCCATTTTAATTAGATTGTTAAAGGCTTAACCTGTGTAACAACCAACAAATGGAAAGTAGACTATGGAATGTTGACAGTCTGTGAACGTATATTCTCTATTTCATATTAATGGCAAGTTTCCCTGGTTCCTTGAAGCACTAAGACATGTTGAATCTGTGGGTCCTACCAGTCTTGACCGATACAAGTATCTAGGTCCAGCAGAAAATTATGTCTAGTCATTCCATTATTAGGGACCAGCGACAATATTTAGAGACACCATTTTGAATTTGCAGTCAGTCTGGTAAATAGACCTTCAGTTTGACAAATTTTTCGTAACTGTCTGTCCAAATGGCTGGCTGATTTTTAGAGTTTTATCTGGTCTGAAGTGGAACACTTGATCCTCCAAAATGACCACCATAATTTAGAGATGACACCAATCTCATCAGTGTTGGCCCAATTATATGAGGAAATGTATTTCAAGAAAAAAATTTCAGTAGGAGAAACATACTGCTTACATACAGATTCAGAGCTTAAAATAAGGAAGGATGTCCTGAATCCATTTTTATTATGCATATATGTATAAGTACAAATATCACAGATATACTGTATACAGTACAGTACAGTATATATATATATATATATATATATATATATATATATATATATATATATATATATATATATATATATATATATATATATATATATATATATATATATATATATATATACGGAACTGCTTCTATGGGTCATTCAATCAATGGAAATGTCAAGGTAAAATTAACCGATTGATTCCAAACCATCTGCTTAATTAACAATATCAAATACAGGGGTGGGGACGGAAAGAGACACAGGAAAATGCTCTTAATGATGACAAACGAGTCATGGATGATGGGACACGCCCAATCTGCATTCATGTCAGTACAGTTTTAGATTGGAAATTAGGTTATGTTCTCTGATAAAGCAATATATATAAATATCTAGTTTAAATGAGAACTAAGTGACACAAATTGCAGTCTTATGGTAGACGTGTGTATGTGTGTGTGTGTGTGTGTGTGGGGGGGGGGGGGGGTAAGCAAATTTTAGGTTTAGCAAAATTTATTTTTTCTTCACAAAACTGTTAGGGCTGTAGGCTGCAGGAAGAGGAGGGCTGATGGAGGTATGATAGAGTTCAGTTTTTGGGTGCATCTGAATCTCTATGGAGGGGACCTCCTCATGTACTTTTATAAAGAAAAAAAAAAACTTTATCAAAGAAGCATCTAGGCTCCACCTCACAGAGATGGAGATTTAGAAAAATAATTTTTGGTGAATATTTATAGCAAGGTTTCAATCTTTACCTTTCTCAAACTACCTCAGCAGTATTGTCTCATTCAGCCAGTGTCTAGACAAGTATCTCAACTGGTACAGTATACAAATAACCTGATTGCATGTAATTATTCCTTCGACAGCTGCACTCTGTGATTGCACATCAGATATTATGAATCGCTTTCAGCAAAAGGTTTGTGTCATATTTTGCAATAAAGCGTTTGCGAACAAGATTCCTCGGATAGTACAGTGTCATGTTCTAAAAAATCGTCTGTACAACAGCGTATATTGAAAAAAAATTTAGAAAGTGGCAAGAAGAACAAAAAAAAAAAAAAAAAAAAAAAAAAAAAAAAAAAAAGAAAGAAAAATAATAATAAAATTAATGTACTCCAGACTACCTTTACTCTTGTACATGTACTATGAACTACTCAATAAAAATCATGCCCTTCCATGCAACAAAAGGGCAGAATGAAAAGAGAATAAAACAAGAAAATAAAACAAATATGTAACAGAAACAAGAATTAAATATTTACATGACTGCAGAAAATTTATCAATTGATCTTTATCAAGAAATGGACACTTGTAATCCACACTCTTGTCAACAGGACGTAAAAAACATCTCTCCACTTGCAACTGAATCACTTCCTGACAACCAACATAACTGACTGAGTGATATAGCTGTACACATGATTAATGGGCTACATTAATGTGATTGTGCACTACAAGATCCACCAGCAACATACAGTGGCTTAAGTGCATGGAAATCCTGTTCTATATCAAATAACAGAACACTGCTGTGGAACCTTATTGTATGTATGTATGTCATTAATTTCATTCACTGCAAGAAAGAAGGTTATGTACCCAAAGACCTGCACTTCACTTGACTTCAGCTTTCAGGATATTTATTACACTGTAGGACTTTCAGTTCAGAATGGAACATTTTTCCCAATGTACGTGCAATTTTTTTATTCTTATTGATCTCACTGGTGAAAATGCATAGGCAGCAAATAAAGATAGTGATAGATTACAGATAATTAGTATTGCATTTTTAATCAAAAATTCTCACACATTTTTCAACATTTAAAGGCAGCGGTCTTAATTTGACAAGTAATAATTTAGTTTTTTCCTTAGACTCATGTGAGATGAGATTAAAAAATAATAAGTGATGAAAGTGGTTGAGTTGGGTAAAAGACATAACTGCAAACAAACTGGGACCATCAAAATCAAACAAAAGTTAGCATATGGCATAAAACTGAAATTATATAGTAAAAATTTCGTTCCAAATATTTTTAAGAAAGAAAAATTGTTACTAATACACCTTCCTCACCTTGGCTGCTTCCTCGTGCGTTATGTCAGAAAAGTTCACTTGGTTAGCTGACAATATCTGATCACCTGTACACAGGCCTTGTCTGTCGGCCAATGACCCTGGCTCTACCTGTGAGACGTAAATCCCAATCCCGTGCTCAGCACCACCACGAATACTCAACCCCCAGCCTTCATGACTAGAATTTTTCTTCAACGTCACATGGTTAACAACATTGTTCTCATTTTTTTCCACATCAAAGGTATTGTTGACTTGTCTGTATATTTTACTCTTCGGTGGTTCGCTTGGCCTTCGGATAATCTCTGAGCTTTTTGTTCGCCTCAAGCTAAAGGGTTGCTGTGATGGAACGCTGGAAGTTCTACGTAGGCCGCGTTGGTTCAAGTAGGGTGTATTTAAGGGTATTGATGTGATAGGATCATTGTACATATACTGGTCAAAGGCATCTTGGTCAGAATGTGGCATAACTTTCCGTAACAGAGGTATAATTTGTCTTTTTACAGAGTTGTCAAAGATGAGCTTTAGAGCTTGCACAAAGTCATACACATTACGTTTAGAATGATATACATTTAGTGCTTCGATGAAATCACTTCGGTCTTCCTCTTCCAAGAGAGTGTTGACGGCTTCTTGAAGACGCCTCACATTCACGGAAAGAGTCCTCTGCGGGGGAATTCTCACCGGTGATGGAGACCTAAGATAGGTCATTTCATACTCGATGGATGACATGATTATTGCAATATATCCCCAGAAGAAGCAACCTGGCTACCTTTCACACTCTACATATTTCACACCTGAAAATTAAAAAAAAAAGTTGTTTCAGATACAGGTTAAAAAGAAATCAAAACAACACAATTATGTGTTTTCAATTCGTATATAAAGCTAAAAAGTTTAACTACATATGGGTCGTCGACGAGAACTTGAAAAGCTGTCTTTCATCTTAGCTCAAGTAAGTCGTCGAGTTTTTACATAAATTATGTTAGCGTTAGCATCGAGAGCCTCACAATTAACCTTTAATTCATTAAAAAAAACTTGCAATGTTTACACACGTACCTGTGTCAAACCTCTCCAAACTTCCCAGCCGCCCAGCCAGCTTTCAAATCAATATTTCTTTTCACATCATTGGGGCACTTGCGCTTCAGGTTGCGCAGTCACGTGATCAAACATTGTTTCATTTCCTGTTCCTGTATCATTCTCCAAACTGTGACCTCGTCTTCATTGATTGCTGAAATTGCTAAAACTTGTTTCCCACTTTCCAGTAAAATTCGATTCGGCCGAAAAATGACGACAATCTGGTCGACACAGCAACATCTAGTCTATGTCAGCCTAAGAATTGACACCTTATGTAAAAAATATTAAACATTATTATTATTCTTCAATAAATAAAGATATAGGCTAAATTTAAAAATATTTGATTGTTTTTTTTTTTTTTTTACTTAAAAATAGACATTTCCATTTGATTTTACACAGGAGCAGTGGCGGATTTAGAGGGAGGGTCAGGGGGGGGGGTCCCCCCCTTCTGGTCCCCTCGAAGTCGACGCTCTCTCTCTCCCCCCCCCCCTCCCCACCCGACCCCTCCCTTGGTGTGAAGTCCAGTGCCCGATGAAGGAACCGGAAAAACTGATATTTTAGAGTGCGAACGGTGCCACTATAGGTATGGTGTAGAACTATGGTTCAGCTTGTTAAAATTCTAATTTGAGTTGGGGACCATGCATTGGCGTGTTTTTTTTTTTTTTTTTTTCAGAAATCGAAGTGTGGTCAAGACCCTCGATCCTGACCTCCCCCACTGTTTACCGTGCCACGTTACCGGGTTCTTACAGGTAATTCGTCGAGGGGGGGTCTACTCCCTTTCACTGGCTCCAAGGCACTAAAAGTCAGCCATTTATAAGTGACAATCTTACGTAAAAGTCAAACATTAAATTGACAGTCACGTACACCAGGGGTGGATCCAGGATTATTTGAATGGGGGTCCGATTTTTTTAGGAATGACAAGCCTCGGATAAGAAGCCCACCCTCGACTTGGTATGGGTTAGAACTATGAATCAGCTAATCAATATTTTAATTTCAAGGAAAGAAAATTATGTGTGATCTTTTCTTCAGAACCGCCTAAATCCGCCACTGTATGACGTGGTGCTATGGCGGGAAAGCTACTGAATCAATTCAAGTTTGGTCGCTTTTATTGATAAGTCTGCCCGGAAAGTTCCTAGTAAGATGACTTCATATGCAGAAGCTTCTTTGGTAGATCTTGGATCAAATGGAAACTTTAAACCTAAGCTTGTCAAGCAGAGGGCCAGTTTGGTTGTACATGTTTACATCTGCAATTACAATCGATAGCCCGGCTGCCGTACAGATGTAGGCTATACTAGTATATATATTTCATCTCGCTCAACGCCAGTCCCTGAACATAGTCTTATCTTCTGTGGTGAAGTTCAACCATGTACACGAGGCCTTGTTTGAGAAGACGACAAGGAACGTTCTGTGACATAGTTTTGTGCTGAGATTTAGTTTGGGTTCACCTATAACGTTAAACAGCACAACTGGATCAAAGGCGGCCCACACCTGGACGGTTTTGGTTTAAGCAAGCCCTGTAAGAAGAGGGAATCATTTCAAAACGTTCAAACTTGTAAAAGCTATTGCAACGATGCGAATTTTGAGAAAAACATATTTGACAAATAATTCTGCAAAGAAGACACCTTTTTGTCCGCTGAACGCGATATACAGGTGGTAAGACAGGGGCAGATCCAGGATTTGAAGGGGGGGGGTGTCAGTGATTTTTGATCGGGTTAGAAATTGCCCCTCTCGTGGTGGGGTTTGGGGCCCGCTAAAGGACCCAAAATATTTTGGTGTTTTAAAGGTCAAACGGTGCCATTTGGAACGGTTAAGAACTATAAATCAGCTAGTTAAAACTCTAATTTCAAGGTGGGGAATATCAGTGTTATTTTTTCAGAAACCGAAGGGGGGGGGGGGGGGGGTCAGGACCCCCCTTACACCCCCTCTAAATCCACCACTGTTAAGCCTAAATATCATTTGGATACAGTGTCATGATACAAAGACAATTTTGCATCAAATAAGACGTAAAAGCTAACTACACNTCGAAGAGGGGAGGGGGGTCTGCTGATGCGAAGTTAGTCTCCTTTTAAATGAATATACCGTTCTGGGTAAATAAAAATATTGAAACTTTATTAAATCGCGAGAATATTTTTGACTTAAATGATTATTTTATTATTAATGGAAATTAAGCTACGATGTGTGGTACATATGCTGTGATTACGCTGTCCTTCATCTGTTGCGTTAGTCTACATTTTGCTGTACATGCTGGGTATTTTAAAAATCTGTGCGTACAATTTTTAAAGGTCTGGTTACGCCCCTGATATAGCACCTGTGAGGTAGCACAAACATGTGCATGTTTATTCTTGAGAGAATATATATATTTCTACAAATGCAATGTTACATATCTCTAGTAAAATTCGAAATGGCTCGATACCTAGCACTAACAATCATCCACTCTGGTAGTGCTGGTTAATTTGTGAGTTGTGTGGTTAATATGGGCATTAGTGCTAAAAGATCTGTGGGTAGTGTTAGTAAACACCTAATCCATTTATAAAGCCTTACTCTGGTAGGGAATTACCATATTTTCAGATTCACTTACCTTTCTCTCATCTCCACACTTCAGTAACATAAGCCCACTCTTCCTCTCCCCCTTGGCCTCGTATCTCCCCGCCTTCTCCACCTCTGGGGGTGGGGACACAGGCCGCCCCCTGGGGTCCACCCAGGTGTACGTCTGGTGGACAACATAGGTGCCAGGGACACGTCCCACTGGCCGCACCTGGAGATCAAGTTTTTTGGCTGATCTTATTATCTGAAAGAAAGTAATTTCATCTTTGAGTGTTAAAGTTATAGGCCCTTTTAGGACTGAAACATAATCGGAACAGTTTCTGCATTGCATCAGTTTGACTGGTCACAGGGAGCTTACAGTACTGACTTAATCTTTTCAATGGGGAAAATTGTAAATTTTTAAATCTATTAAAATAGATACTGTATTTTTTTCGAACATAAATTTTTAAAATTTGAACGTAATCATACTGAATGGCAGCAACAAAATTGAAAAGCAGTCTACCCTTCAGTTCTATTCTGTATAATAAAAGCTCTACAAAATATGCTATACAGAAGTTATATAATTTTAAATTAATGATTCCATAATTATGTAACTGAAGGATTGATAATTTTGGATATATTGAAAAGATCGGGTCAAAACCATATTCCTTTTCACAGCCCCAGTCAGTGTACCAATCAAAATAAATGATATTAAGCTGTGTGATGTGTGGGAGCTCTGTTTAAGTGGCTCTGTTTAAGTGGCTCTTTTATATGATAGCCAGGCAATCTCTCAAAGTTGTCAATTTTTCACACTGGTGTGATACAGAAAACTGTTGCGTGAAGTGAAAACAACCACTGTATCACAAACAATGACTGTAATGCTCAATACACATTATCTGAATTTAAAAGTATATCTACAGAGTAAGCCACCAGTGCAAGACAATTGATTTGACCTCAGACTATACAGAAAAAGATTGATTTATAAAAGCTAACAGTCTGATCAGTTTGGGCATTTTTTATGTCTTGATTAATATTTCACTCTCTGTAAGTTTCATCTTCATATTAGAAAAAATTGATGTAGACTGAGGCTTACTGTAATAGCTTTTGGAGGTTTGCTAGCACTGAACAGAAAAATGCGACTCATTGCTGAGGATATATAAAAACAAGAGTTCCAGTTAATATTTCCTACTCCAGCACGATTTCCTATATATATATATTATATAGTTTTAAAAAAAAAATATTTGTTCAAAAAAGAGCAGGCATTTTTAATTAGAATCTGGAAATTCAACAAGGACAATATATGCAATGAAAATATACACGTGATCATTGTATAGGTAAGTTTTAAAAATGTATACTTTGCTTCTCCTGATCATGCACAATGTAATAATGCCTATGCATCATTTGTGTCTATAAACAAATTTAAGTAAATGACAAATATTTTGTGTATATGTAGCTTATATATATTAATGCTTCTGGGTTTAGCACTGAAAAAAAATATGCATATAGGTACCTTGCAACACAACATATGCATAAACATTTACATATATTTAAGGCCTTAATGATTCAGCCAAGGGGTAACACATAAACATACTAATTTGCTTCCCCTATACTGTTTCTATAGGTAATATCAACTTTAATTAAGAATCATTGGTCAAATGCTTTGTATGTGTGTACAATCCCTGACAATAACCATATTATTCCAACCCAATTATTCAGCAACAAACTATTGATTTTTGTCGATAAATAATTAATTAGCTGAAGGTCAATCAATCCAGTCATGTTCGTTTTAGACTGAGGAAATCTAAGAGCAGTGGTAGCGGGGTGACATGCATAATATTACCAACTGATTGGGAAGTTATCCACATAATATGCCAAAAATATATAGATATAAAGAACTATAGAGTTTGAATGTCTCCTTTATATAAAGGAACCCCAGGTCCAACATAATGATATAATTTTTAATGACTAGAATCAATTAATTAATTAATTACTGTGTTCAGAAATTAAAAAGGAAATACCCCCTGTACGTTTAGGAGTTTTTTTTTTTTTTTTTTTTTTGTCCTGTTTACTCTTGATCAGATAATCCAGACATGTTGGTTTTGAAAATCCTGGCAATCCAGTAATGTTTGTTTTTT